TGCTGTGCATCCAGGAGGATGGCACAGTTCTCATCTACAACCTCTTCTGCGAGTTCAAGCGCCACTTCAGCATGGGCAACGTGAGTGGGGCAGCTCAAGAGATGCCCAGGGTTGGGTTTGTGTGACGGAGAATCAAGCGCTATGCGGCCCCTCTGAGCGCTCCCCCAGCCCCGTGGGGTGCAGGGGGGAGCCTGGGGCTGTTGCAGCCTCCCTGCAGGGCTGCCTGCCTTAGGGAATGAGCTGGCAACCATCTCCATGGCCCCTGGGGCCAGAATGATCCCCTGCTTCGCTGCAGCAGCAAGACCTGTCTGAGCTGGGATGTTTACCAGCCATGCAGCACAGGGGCTGGGCTTGCTCCTGCCCAGGGTAGTTTTGTTCCCAGAGCCGCAGCAGTGTGATGCTGAGCCCCAGCTGTCCCGGCCTGGGCCCAGCTCTCTCTCCGTGGCACAGGAGGTGCTGCAGAACCACGTGCTAGAGGCGAAGGTCTTCCACACAGAGTATGGTACCGGCGTGGCCATCCTCACCGGAGCATATCGCTTCTCCCTGACCACCAACATCGATGACCTGAAGCTGCGCAGGATGCCCGAGGTTCCCGGTGCGTCCCCTCCCCGCTGCCCCCTGCTCCGGCTGGGTACAGGGGCCTGACACTGGTGCCCGGCAGGTCTGCAGAAGCCTCCCTCCTGCTGGGCTGTGCTGTCCCAGGACAGAGTCACCATTGTCCTACTGGCGGTTGGACAGGACCTCTACCTCCTAGACAACACCTCCTGCTCTGTGGTGGTGAGTGAACTGCGGCGGCTGGCCATGGGCGGCAGGGTGGCCTGCGGTCCCCTGCACTCACTGGCAGGTCCATCCCCTGTCCCCCACTGTCCCATGGGATGCTCTTCAGCCCCCAGCACTCGCTGGCAGGTCCTTGCTTCTGATGTCCCACGGGAAGGTGTGTAGAGCAGGGACATCTGGCCCCATCCTGGCCAGGGGCAAAGGGACGAAGATTAAGTGGGCACAGGGTGGGAAGGGATACCCACTCTGACCAGTCCTCAGCCCCTTATTCAGCATTGGTGCCAGTGTGTGGCACGTCCTGTGTCCCCAGAGCGTGTCCCCCAGGTGTGACCCTCACCCTTTCCCTGTCCTAGACCCCCCCTGGCATGAGCCCCTCCACCGGTGCCTATCTGCAGATGGCCGTGTCCTTCAACTACCGCTGCCTGGCGCTCTTCACCGACACCGGCTACATCTGGATGGGACTGGCCACGCTGAAGGTGAGCGTCTCCCTTCCCTCCCCGTCACGGGGCATTAGGGTGTCAGCCCACCCCTCCTCTCCCTGTCTGGCAGATGGAGCCAGCAGGGTGGGGTGTCCAAGCAGGTTCCCTCAGGGAACTCAAGGCTGCAGGTCGACCTCACTGCCACCCACAGGCGTCTGCGCTCCTGCCCTCAGGATATCCACCCTCTTTTGTTCTTTTTCTGATTTTTATACCTTACACTCCACTTTTTCTATTTCTGGACCCACGTCTTTGCTGCCCTTGCACTTCCCTTTCTGTGTCCGAACTCCCCTCAGATAAGCAGCCCACCA